CCCTAGTTAGCATGTGTGTTCACATCCTTACCTTACCTGGGGTTGAGCTGCTGAGGGCTATCAAAAGCTAACATGTTCCCCTCCTCCACCCACCAACACCACTTCATTTGCATAAGGGACGAGGGGATCTCTCTCTAGGATCTATTGTGAAGTGCTTCAGGTGCCCTCAATGTTGACGGCAGCCAAGGTTGTCCGTAGCACTGTTCTGGGGAAGCAAGCCGTGTTTGTGTTGGAGCCGTTGTGTGTCCTAAAAAGGGAGTGGCCCCTCTGCTTGGGAGACTCATGATTTGAGCCTACAGATTTAAAATAGCTCTTGCCTCACTATGGTCCATCTTGACTGCTGTTTGGCAGGGAAGGCCCACTGGAGTCAATGGGAATCGATCCCCCGACACCAGCACACTTGGATGGGGTCCCGAGGGCCCTGCAGCTCACTGCTTACACCATAGGTGCTGACTCCCATGAAGAACACATGGGAAAAAATAATGGGCACTCAGCACCGACCAACAGCCCTACCAATCAGCCCTTTCTGCTCCCCCACAAGCACCTCCTGCCAGCCAGTGAGCCCCACTGATCAGCATCTCCTGCCACCCCAGGGCTTCCCTCCCCCCACCCAGCTACGGATCAGGAGGGTGCAGGAGGCACTGAGGGGAAGTGGATGAATGGGGTGAGAACAGGGGGTGGAGATGAGAAGAGGTGGGGGCTGAGGTTGGGGATAGTGGGGAGGTCTGGGATGGAGCAGAGGTTGCACACCCTCCAGGAGTTCAGCAAGCCAACGCCTCCGACTGACACCAGTTAAGAGATACCTGACCCACAACAACCAAGCAGGTTTAGGGTCGTGTGTATAAAACCCCTCTCTGTAACTCCATTTGTACATGCCTGCTTGGCAATGGGGAGTGCACAAAGATCGCTCTGTTCGAACGATTGCATCACCGCAGGCTTCTGAATTACTCCAAACGCAAGATGCACATTTTAAATCCCCCCTGCTGTTGCTGATAATTTGTTCCATATTTACCCTATCACTTAGCACTTGCAAATGGCATTCTTTGGAATGTAAATGTTAATTAAACAGTGGTAGTTAAAGTGGGCCAAACTCATCAGGGATGCTTTAACTCCACCGCAGTCCATGAAGTTGACACCAAGGATGAATTTGGCCCTAGTGAGTTTCACCTTACATCATTTTCCAAAACAGAGAGGAGCTTTCTTCCTTCCCTTATATTTAAATGTAAGCACTATGTGCCTTGCATGGCTGCCCTTAAAGCGAAGACAGAACACTAGAGTGATAGCTATCCAAGGACACACTCGGGCCCTAAGCGTGAGGTTACTCCAATTGTATGAGACCAGAGTTTGTTAAAACATAAGCAGATGAAAAATGCAGCGTGTAATTTAAAGCAGTGGATCTCCACCAGGCTTATGTGTACCCCTGCGGGCATGTACAGGTCTTTCAGCAGGTACGTTAACTCATGTAGCTGTTTGCCTAGTTTTACGATAGGCTGAATAAAAAGCATTAGCGAAGTCAATACAAACTAAAACGTCATACAGCCTATGACTTGTTTCTAATGTGTTCACTTTTTTCATTGTATTCCTTTGGTATATATGGTTGTGAATATGATCTGAGGAGTGGGTCTGGCCCACGAAAGCTCATCACCTATTAAACCATCTTGTTAGTCTTTAAAGTGCTGCACAGTTTTTCCTTTTGTTTCTACCTATATACTCTACACCAAAGTGAAAGTACTATATTTATAGGCCAATTGAGTTATTGTATAATTCTATGGTGAAAATGAGAAAGGAAGCCTTGTTTCAGTACTAGTGTGCTGTGACATTGTGTTCTATATCTGAGTTTGTACACTAGTAGTTTTTAAATGAGGCGACATGTGTACACAGACAAATTAGACTCCTGAAAAGGGTACAATAGTCTGCAAAGGCTGGGAACCATGGATGTAGGGATTATTCAAAGACCAAAGTTCCCATATTTTTTTCCATGGGGGAAAAGCCTTGTTTCAGTACTAGTGTGCTGTGACATTGTGTTCTATATCTGAGTTTGTACACTAGTAGTTTTTAAATGAGGCGACATGTGTACACAGACAAATTAGACTCCTGAAAAGGGTACAATAGTCTGCAAAGGCTGGGAACCATGGATGTAGGGATTATTCAAAGACCAAAGTTCCCATATTTTTTTCCATGGGGGAAACGGTGCCGGGGGGGGGGGAGGAGGTTGGGCAAAAGTGCAGGTGCATTGAAAATAAACTCCCTAAAAAATTTGATCTGAAGAAGTGGGTCTGGCCCACGAAAGCTCATCACCTAATAAACCATCTTGTTAGTCTTTATAGTGCTACATAGTCCTGTTTTTTCCCCCTAAAACAAACAAGATTTTATCTAACCCCCAACTGCATAGCTGGAATTTGTATGGAGAGCTTACTCACTGACGTATTTTGCTGGGCTCTCACAACAGCTGTAATAAAATGGCAACGCAGAAGAAAACTACCCCCAGTGTTTTTTCTACCCACGCCATTCCACCCCCACTTCTACAACAGAATATATTCATCTCTTTAAAACACATTCCACCTAGTAATACATTCTACCTTTCAATTCAATGTTAATAACTATTATTTGATATATAAAAATACAGGGCCGCCCGGGAGGGGGGGGCAAGTGGGGCAATTTGCACCGGGCAGGGGCCCCCATGAGAATGTCTGAAGTCTGAGGTCTGAGACAGGGAGTGCCAGGAACGGGCCCCCGAAATTGCTTTGCCCCAGACCCCCTGAATCCTCTGGGCGGCCCTGTAAAAATATATACAGGCAGTCCCCGAGTTACGCGGATCCGACTTATGTCGGATCCGCACTTACGAACGGGGCTTTTCTCGCCCCGGAGGATGCGGCTGGCGGGACCGTCCAGACGCGCCGAGGTCCCGCTGCCCTCATCCTCCGGGGCGAGAAAAGCTGCTCTGCGTCTCCCTGGTCTGCTGGGGTGGGGGGGGCCAGCAGACCAGGGAGACGTGGGGGC